CCCCAAAACCCCAAAACCCCAAAACCCCAAAACCCCAGAGAGTTGCCAGAATTGATTTAATTAATTTTAGAATATAAAATGGAATCGAAGTCTGATTATGACTGCAGTATCTGCATCAACACTCTGGTCTTCCCTGTGAAGACTTCTTGAGGGCATCTGTTTTGAATGAAATGAATGGAGAAATACCTTGAACAATCTCCTATACAGCAGTGACCTATGTGAAGGTAAGAAGAAGTTAGAAAACAGAACTAGGCTAAGTTTAGCTTAGCTTTGAAGATATTCTTTGCTTCAACATTTTAAACTTATTTGAAAGGAATTTATGATCTCTCCTCGATAATTTTCATTAGAACCAAGGTTAAACTTGAGAAACTTAAAGTTGATAAGAATGTCTGGAAAGAAGTCAAAGATCTCTTCGGGGATGAAATTAAAGAAAGGAGGAAAGTTGTTGAAGAAGAAATCAGGAAGGAGAAGAACATAGGTACTCTTATTTGTCACTCTCCGAATAGTTAAGCTTAAGGTAAGGTACGGCAACAAGTACGAACTCTTGAAGAGCTTTAAGACTACAAAGAGTGGTTATGAGAATAAGCACAGATGGACAGTCTATGTTGCATTAGGAGATAAGAAGGTAGAAGCAGGGAGTGTGATTAAGTCAGTTGAGTTTAAGCTGGATGATTCTTTTGGGTTCACTGATATTAAGAAGAATTTTGGACCCTATGAATATGCCTGTAATGGATATGGAGAATTCTCTATTCCAATCAAGATTACTTGGCAGAGATGGCTGAAAATGGAACCTGCTACTCTTGATCACCCATTAAAGTTTGAAGGAAAAGGAAGTCATAAATCATTCATTGTGAGGGTTGACAAGACCTTGCTTGAGGAGAAGACAGGGGTGAAGTACTAATTTGATAGTTAAAGAAGTATTTGTCTATTTTTGGCTATCTTTTAACCTAAAATCGCGCAACCTTTGCTATATAAAATGGGGTTTTGGGGTTTTGGGGTTTTGGGGTTTTGGGGTTTTGGGG